ATGTAACCAGTTTCCAAGGAATGGTTGTTGAATATGCATGGGACGGGGTTATGATTCTTGGCCAAGAGGTGGCTTGCTTCTAAATGTCCCAGTTGGACTGGTGCCACCCTTCTGGCGACTTTTTGTTCCTCAACCCAAGTTCGTTTGTTGGGGGGAAGGGGGTGGCATCTGTAAATTGGGACTGCCCTTTCTGCTCGTATTCAGCAGGCCAGATCTGGTTAAGACTGAGAATGACTTCCTGTGATTGGATTCTTCCCTCTGGCTCATGTGGAATTTGTACATAAGCCAACAGGCAATCACTTTTCAATCTGTATGTTGAGAGCTAATGGCAGAAGCTGGGACCGTGTGCAGAATTCCACAGCTGTCCTGTCTCTTTAATGACCCTTTGCTTCTTCATGTCTGATGTTCTTGGTGTCACGCACCACCAATCGAGTCTTTGGTTGTGAGTGTTCAAGGGCCCCAGTCGGCACCGGAGAGGATCTCAAAATCCAGGTGGAATCCTCACAGTCAGATTTGGCTTCTGGTTTTCCTTTCTTTTTTGTTTTTCCCCCCTCTTATTTCGAACTTGCACATGAGCAATGGTTCATAGTCGGCCCCGGCCTTGGGTGGGCCGATAATATTGAGCTTTTCTCCATTTTCTCTTCCCACAGAGGTAGTCCGTTTGAGTCCTGTGTATTCCACCTGGTGAGGTCCACCTGTAGAGTCATCATTTATGTTGTTGTTGTTGGGGTGGGGGTTATTGCTGTCAAGAACTTGTTGGTCTGGCAAAATGTGATCTCCAGCTTTGCTTCTGTCACCAAGGACATATTTTCCAACCACTGTTCCTTCCTCGTTGTTTCCAACGTTCACAGTCCAGTCGCCAATAATGATCACTACGTCTTGATTACATGTTTGATCAACTTCCGACTAAAGAATTTGGTAGAATTCTTCCATTTCTTCATCATTGGCTTTCCTGGTTGGTGCGTCCCTTTGAGCACTAGTTGTATTAACGAATCTTCCTCGTAGCTGTATCGATAGTACCCTGTCACAGCATTGAGCTTTAAGATGGCTCTGGGAATGTTCCTTTTGATAATGAACGGGACGCTCTTCCTCTTGAACTTGTCATTCCTGGCGTCGACCGATCCCAGCCCGTTTCAGCTCCCTAATGCCTAGGATCGTGATCTTGATGCATCCGTTTGCTTGCTGAAAGCGAAGAGGGCTTTAAACACTGACTGATACAGCACGAAGACTTCACCGCTTCAGTGTAGACAAGCGCCAGGTAAAGAGGACAGAAATCCTCACAACTGGACCCGTAGGCAACAGAATCATAAACCAAGTGCAGATTTAAATTGTTAAATGTTTCGTCTCACTTGGATTCCGTCAGTGTTCACGGAAGCAGCAGTCAAGAAATCGAATGATGTCTGCATTGGGGAAATGCGCTGCTCACGACCCCTTGAAGTGTTCAGGAGCAAAGAGATCACTTTGAGGACTCAGACCAAACTCACCACCATGGATGCCACTCAGAGCCACCCTAGAGGACAGGGTAGAACTGCCCCTGTGGGTTTCCCAGACCACACACCTTTACGGGAGTAGAAAGTAGAAAGCCTCCCCCCCTACCACCCCGCCCCGGAGTGTCTGGTTGATTTCAATGGCTTATCGTGTGGTTCGCGGCCCACCGCATAACCCACCAGGGCTCCGGCGGTGAGGACTGACTGATGTGTGGTCGTTTCAGTTGTCTTATACGCATGCGAAAGCCGGACCGGAAAGAAGGAAGACCGCAGAAGAATATGGTGAAGAATCCTGCAGGTGCCATGGACTGCCAAGAGGACAAACCAATCTGTCGTGAGAGACGGACCCAGTAGCGTCTTGTACTGTGAGTCGGCGCCTAACGCCGCCGCCAGCAGAAGCATCGATACCTCTGAATGTTGGCGAAGAACATTGAAAGCACCATGTACTGTCTTGGAAGACGCACAACCCGATTGCTCCTCAGAACGGAGAATGGCAAGACTTCATCGCGTGGACTTTGGACATGGTATCCGGCGAGCCCAGTCCCTGGAGAAAGAAAGGACATCCTGCTTGGTAAAGCAGAGGGTCAGGGAAAAGAGGAAGACGCTCGACGCCATAGATTGATACGGTGGCTGCAACGATGGGCTCAAGCCTAAGAGGAGGTCTGTAGAGGGTACCAGACTCGGCAGTGTTTCCTTCGGTTGTACGTCAGGGTCACTCTCAGCACCTGACAACAACGTAGGGGATCTGACATCACCGAAGATTGATTGCTGCTGTCCACTCGGCCCTAGTGCCCAGTGAACCCACATGCAACAGAATGAAGGCTGCCTGGATTGGCACCATGCCCGTCACCGCCAGCAGGTTTGAGTGCCTCAGTGTGGCTCATGTGCCAATCCAGCTCACCAGGGTCTCCCTGGCCCCCAAGGACCCTTGACTTGGCCAAAAATGATTCTCCTCCAGGAGCTCGCCCTTCCTGAGGATGTCTAGAGCAGCGCTTCTCAGCCTGGGGGTCGAACGACCCTTTCACAGGGGTTGGCCGATTGATAACAGTAACACAATGACAGTGAGGAAGTAGCAACAAAAGTAACGTTATAGTTGGGGGTCACCACCCCATGAGGAGCTGTGTGAAAGGGTCGCGGCCTGAGGACGGTTGGGAACCGCTGGCATTTGAGTTGGGGGATGTCCCTATGTGTTGCGGTGCGCCACATATTTCCATCGGCCAATATCTAGGAGTCGCTCACCAGACCACGTTTCCTGCCCACGACGGTTGACCGTGCTGGTATTTGAAATATTGACGACATCGCTTCCAGCATGTAACACGGAAACCACCACCATGCTGCAGCCTGGCAGGGAAGGTGGTGGGCATCCTTGAAAGGGACAAGGTGAAGCCGGGAAAAGGCGCACTTTTCCTGATGGCTGTAAGTCATCTTTTTAGAAAGGCGATGCGGGGCGGAGAGGGGATTGTAGAGGACACCTCGCAGGGCTGGTTCTAGGCTCCCTCAGCCTTCTTTGCCACCAGCCTGGGAAGTACAGGGTGAGTGAATGACAGGCACTGTCACCTTCCCTTGCCCATCAGAGCGAACCCCACCCAGCCCGGCCCCTCCTCCCAGTGGTTCTCATGTCCAAGCCCATTGTGGCCGCCACCGTGTCCGTCCACCTCCTTGAGGGCCTTCCTCGTTTTCACGAGCCCTCTACTTCGCCAAGCGTGTCCTTCTCCAGGGACCGGCGACGCCTGACCTGTCCAAAGAGTGAAATGAAGGCTTGCCCTCCTTCCCCTCTGAGGAGCGTTCTGGCCGACTTCTCCCATGACATGTTTGTTTGTTCTTTGGACTGTGTCCTTCGGCAGTACCAGAGTTCAAGGGCATTGTGTTAGACAGGGTTCTCTAGAGAGATAAAACCAAATTGCTGATAATTCAATATATTTATTTATAAAGATAATTAGATATATAACAAGAAATGAACTGTCAAATCATATACAGATAAATATATAATACAAGAAATGAATGGTTAAATTATAAAGCACTACAAATGGCTCACTGCAACTGACTCCCTTGAGAGAGTTGTGAGAGACTAGCAGTCCTTCAAGTCCAGTCTGCTGCCAGATCTTCCTCTATTTATAGAGAGAGCTAGGCTATGTCAGCACAGCAGCCAATCAGAAGGCAGGTCACCAACTGCCAGCCAGGTCACCAACTGCCAGTCCCCAGCTCCAGCGATCCCTTAAAGGGACCTCAACTTACAGCGACACAGTCCATAGGCTAGGCGTCCCACAGGTAGTGTAGCCTTTACATTGAGGCACAGAACAAGCAAGGCAGCCGCACACTGGTCCGATGATCAAAGAGCGAGAGACAAGAAAGGCGAGACTCACCAAGCCATTCATCTCTCCGCCCTTCAGTCAATCCCACTTGTGTTTATCGGCCAGGCTGGCATAATAAACTATCTCAGGCATTGATTCCCCATCGGCTCATAGGCACGCCCAATGCACGGAGGCTGGTTGGGCGTGCTGGCCACAGGGCCCTTCTCGAGACCCCTGGCATGGGGTGACCCATTGCTCCAAACTACAGCTGGGGGCTGGCCAGAGCCCACAGCAAGGGTGCTCCCCTGTCCATCGTGGTGTCCAGTGGCATCTTGAGGACCCAGGACATGCACTGCTCCTCTTCAGGTTAGAAAGTTCACCCCAGAAAGCTTCTCTAGAGGCTGTGTGCCAGCACACTGACCCAGCCACACTTGGGACAGATAGCCCTTCTGGTCACCACTTGACCGGCGAACAGAACTCTTCGAAAGGCTCCCTAGCAGCACATTGATCACAGAGGCTTCAAAACGTTTGCGGGAAGACGCCATCATCTTCTCATTCCATTTTCCCATGGACTTTCGGAAGCCCCTTGTACTTTGAGAAGTTGAGCCGCTCCCTGTGCTTCCTCTCGTTGCTAGGGGGCTGTGACAGGTAACCGCCACGTGGGGGCTCCAAGAACAGAAGCGTGATCTCGCCTCTCTGGAAGCTAGGAGCTCGCCCTCCATGCGCTTCGTTCTGAGGCTCAGGAGGACCCATTCCAGACCTCTCTTCCTAGGTTTGGGGAAGGCCAGCAGGCCTTGGCTTGCGGCTGCAGCACTCCAGACTCTGCCTCCATCATCATCGTCATCCCACCGTCTCTGTCTTTGTCCTCTTTGATCAGCACACCCCTCAGAGGGAGCTAGGACCCATGCTCCCCTGGCAGGCTCCATTCCGGTTAACGATGTGAACAGTTCCTGGACTGGTCATACTTGTTAGCTGATAACATCATCCAAGACCTTGTTTCCCAACAGGGCTATGGCCACAGGTCCCGGGCTTGGCACCCAGCTTAAGTACCGAATTAGTTCTTTGGGAAACAAACCCAGTGTCCCCCCTGTCCCCCCTCCGCATAGCCCCACTTCCAGGTCTCGGAGGTTGAGCCGAAAGCTCCAGAGACCGGAGTGAAGTGCCGTCCTGTGTCTGGGGACTGGTGGGGTAATGGTGGGCACCCTCCATCTCCCTAGAGGGTCTCCCTTTGTCAGGCCTCACACCACACTGTCCAGGGCCCAGGTGGGCATGAGCCCTAGTCACCCACGACCTGCAGGCCACCCTGGGCAGTGGAAGTCTGTGTGTGCATGTCAGCCCACAGGGCTAGCTCAGGTGCCCACACTGCCCTCTGTGTTACTTACAGATGCTGCGCCGGGACATGGCGCTCCCTCACGCCATCCTGCTGGCGGGAGTCTTGGTGGAAGTCACCAGCAGGTCCACAGAAAGTACGGTAGGTGAGGCCGAGCAGCAGCAGGGGTCCAGGGCCTTGCCCATCATAGCTGACCCCCCACCCCGGCCGTCAGAGTCCCGAGCGGTCCGAGACACTGTCTCAGGTTGGCCTGGGCCTTGGCCAGCTCTCTGCGTGGCCTCTGGCCGTAACCATCATGGGGTCTGCATAGAGCTGCCACTGGGGCTGGCAGGAGCTCTGCCATCTACTAGCCCCCAGGTAGACCAGACCTCCTGCGGCCCCTATTCCCAGCTCCAGCGCCCACCCTGTGGCAGCACCTCCCCACCTCTGTTTCCCCCAGAGACCAGGCACCCGTTGGTGTCAGTTGAGAGGCCTTTGGTGCTTCTCAAGCCAGGAGACCGGTGGGAGCAGAGCTGGGGCTCGAGGGGCCCAGCAGGGCTAGGGACTCACCGTTCACCCCCGTCCCCAGGTCCCGCAGCCCCAGTGTTGTGTGGAGGTGGCAGATGTCAATGGCACCTGCCCGAGCACAGGCCAGTGTGGCCCAGGTAAGCAGCCCCTGAAGGCCAAGGGTTTGAGCCGGCCTTCCACCCTGCCCCCAGGCCCTGGGGATGGGGAACTGGCGTGGTCCCGTGAACCAGGCGAACAGTCTCCGACAAAGAGGGACACTGGGTTCCCTCCACGGAGCTTCCTGGAGCAGGTGACAGCAGACCCCCATGGCGTCTGCAAGGAGACTAGGCAGCCAGGGACGCACTTGCAGAGGCCCTGGTCTGAGGGATGCTTAGTGCACGACTCTCACGCGCACAGCAGCCCTCGCAGGCCGCGGTCTGCTCAGCTCCACTGGCTGCAGTAGGCACACATGACATCAGATGCATACCTGCCCCAGCAGCCCCCCGAGTTAGCAGTGGGCACTGTCCTGGGGCCGGAGCAGCAGCTGGAAGAGTGACATGTGCCAGGTGGGACCTGGGGGTGAAACCGAGTTGGGGGGCCTGGCAGGGCCTGCCCAGGCAACCATGGGGTCAGCCATAGTCCCCACGCACTCAGAGAAGGCCCCGGCAAAGGACTGTGACACCCACCCCCCACCCCACCC